TGTCCAATAAAAATCGCAAACATCCGCACTTGATAATTTTATACGTCACGAACGACCTTTTGTTAAGCATTTCCGTTGGTCGTTTTAAGTTACGCAAATTGATTTACACACTATATCACATGCATTGACACATAACCATGATGCTCATGACATGTTTTAGCAAAAAAAAATTACAGTGTAACACTGAGGGTGTTACAGACCATGTCGCTCGAAAAACAAGACGTACAAAGGATATGAGACCACGCCGCTGGTGGTGCCTCAAAAGGCCAGAAGGCGGATGCTACAAAAGCAGGGAAGGTAGGGTCAAGGCTTGCCCCACCATCCCTCTTACAAGTATCATGCTCCCATGGCCGGAGCACGGAAGGAGGAGGACGGCTCTGACAGCTCTGGGAGGCCCCCGCGTGCACCAGAAGACTTCCAAGAAGCACTCCTAGAAAGCATGGAGCCCACCAAGCCAATAGGAGCCGTCCCCATCCTCACGATGGCAAAAGGAGACTGGCCGATGACCGAAGTGCGCCCGTGTCACGACTGCGCCTTGCTCAGCATAGGCAGCGTGATAAGGTAGTGTTGCTTCATCCTCCTCCCATTTTGCGAACGACACGATGTGGGCATCAAGTGACGTCCCTCAAAGGTCACGACGCACTGCGGGACAACAAGCAGGACACGGGAGGAGGCTGGAGATGTCCCTAACCATCGCCCGCTTCAGGCATCCAAACCGACATGGTCCGGAGCAAGAAGCTGTTGTAGGATGGAGGCCCGAGGTCGCGTATGACCGAACTCGATGCCCACGTCGCCTCCTACTTCCTTGCTCGCAAATTCCCTTCTAGCACCAGCTGTTGGAAGGGGCGACATTGGCCCCAGCCATCACAGGTGACCCCTAGTGGGACGTATAACAAGGACCGCATGGTTCTCCTCAAACTTTTCTCTCTCGTCTCTTCACCTCCCAACATCTAGCCATTTAGGGAAATCCGGGAGGACTCGAAGTTGCAGCCATGAGTGGTTCAAACGGTAGGAAGGTCTCCATTTATAGGCCAGAGACAGACTGAGCAGCCAGAGAACCCCACGTCGTGTGGCGAACCACGGGAGGCCACAACCAATGTCAGACACTCGCATAAGGTTGGGGAAATCAAGACCTTCCTAAAGGCAAGGTCGGTACAGCGTCGATAGGACCACTCGGACTCGCCTGGGTCATGAACCCCGACACCCAGCACACTGACACGGCAGGGCTCAGCGAGCACGTACCACATCGTCAGGGCATCCTAACGGGGTGGAGCACAACGGCCAACTACCTCATTGAACGCGCTAAGCCCGCAAGGGGTCGAGCGACGAAGCTTGAACAAGCCACGAATTATGATCACGTATTTGATATGCACGCAACACATCGCTTTCACGATCACTTCGTGATCGCAAGGGGATACTATTGGGGTTATAACCCTAGGGTGTCTCAAGGCACTGATTAGTTAGTGGGCCATCGGCCGACAATATATCAGCTAGCGAAGGCTCGAACGACTGAGGCTAGGCTGATCTAAGAGAACCAGGCCAAGCGCTAAGGTGGGGGCTAGCCACGACCCCTTCAGCAGACTTAGCCACCCAGCGCACGAGTGACACATGACCACTCCATTGTCTTGACCCCTAGGAGGAACGGGGAGAGGTCAAAAGCAGCCAAGCATGCCTGCTCTGACAGGAACAGGCATGCCGCACTAACCCCACAAGGACCAAGGGGATAGTGGTACCCTCGGTCCAGTCAGACGCCATCCCTGCGCCACGCTGTGTAGACAAGACAACACCGCGTGGTGGTGGCAACCAGTACGGTGATCCACCGTCCAAATACGGTCTGACAGGACGCATGTATGATTCTACCCACCATAGGATGGGATCCACGACAAAGGCATAGACTTAGAGGCCATCCAGACTGACAAGAGCCACGACCCCGACGATCAGGATTGTGGCCCTCAGTTCTTCAAACCAACAAGGCGATCGACGACCTAGGAGCGGCTGCCAACTCCTGTATGACGCTCCAGGAAACCAGGGAGCGATGATGAAAACCACGACGAGGACCACGTCGCATAGGACGGCTGGCGAACCACCACCGTGCCTGCAGTGCCGTCACGGCCGGCACAGTAGCACTACGTCACACCATGCCGCGACGTGGCCACAAGACCATGAAGACAACCACGCCCAAACGTGCACCACAAGATAGCGTAGCTTGCAAGCCAAGTTAGCTAAGCTCTCCCTCAGGCTCATGACCCTTTGATCGGGAGAACCTACTGCTTTGTACAAGCCTTGGCCCCAAACTCTATATAAGGGCAGCCAGGGAACCTATCCGAGGAAGGGACTCTGATCCTCTACCATTTTACTCATTCTGCATCGTAGTAGGGCCCTGGAGCATTCCTTCAGGCAGTCCATCTCCTAGCTCTAGCTCTCCAATGTCTTCCACCATTCTTGCACCCCCATTGTAAGAATTTCAGAGCATTCAAGTGAGGAACACACACTCGATCATCTCTGAGACTGGACATAGGGCTCCGACCTGAACCAGTATAAATTCTCGTGTCTTTTAGATGCTACCATCATCTTTCTAGAGCAGCGCGGCAATCATATAAGTTTACTAGTCTGGCTTACAAAACACCGACACCACCACTTTCCAAAGTTCACATATAAGCCTATCCCAAATTCACAGGGTGGGAGATGAAAGGTTATTCTATAGATTATCATCTTATGTTTCTACTTTGCAACTTATAACACACTCTTTAACTCACTCCTCTACGGTTGAAATGCAACACATAGGTATCTCTATCATATAGCCAACAATAATATACAAATATAATCCATATACAACCATATTAGTTTAATTAATATATGTCTAAATTATGATTATTAAAATAAGTTCAATTCCAAGGATCCAAACAGGGAATTGGCCTGATAGCCAAAAGCATTGTTTCTATGATCACAACTAAACAATTAAGCACCTTTTTCCTTTATTGTTGCCATGTTAAAATTATTTGGAAAATTGTTCATATTGCTACTGGGTTAGCCCACCTAGACCTACTACGCACAAGCTTGGGGGCTGGCTCACAGAAATTGGGAGGGAGGATAAAAGAAACTGGTTTATGTTGTGGCCGTTGCTATTATTTAGAGAATTTGATGTACTCGTAATGACATTGTTTTTTAGACAAAAACGCAATGTTACTTTTATGCATGCTATTTTCATAGGAGCATATTGGCTGTGGTTTTGGATGCAGCTGCAGTAGGAAGATAAAAGGGAGACATTTCAATTGGCGAGCAAAACGTCGAGGGTTACCGCTTTAGATGTGTTTGCCAAGTATGGATGTCAAAGTAATAATATCTGCATATGATTTTCTTCTATTTGTCTACAATCTTTTTCTTTATTTTTGTTTGCAAATAAGCCGATAACATTGTAAGATTTAACTGTGTGCGGTCATAGAGGCCGAAAATCTTATATTTTCTAAAAAAAGATAGATTTTACTCTTCTTTCCCCAATAAATTCGTGTGTATGTAAGCGCTTTGCGCAAAACCAAAATGTTCCTTGACTATCAGGCCTATGGAGGTCACTCCGAATAAATGAAATTAGGTGGAGATCCTCTTCCCTTCCGTCGACTTATAAAGAAACTCCAATTTCAAGTTCAGTTAGGATAGAAAGGCTATGACAATGAACCGACGAGAATGGAAAAAGAAACCCATGGAGAACCGGTGTGCTTCGTCATGTTCCCATTGCCTATTTTGACCACGGTTGCAAAGATAACCCTATAAAACATATAGATGTAATTGGAGATTAATAGAAGGAGAAATAACAAGATAAGCACTAAACAACATCATTAACTAGTTAATTGTGTGTCCGTTGTGCAGACCAACTGGGATGACGTGCATGCAAAAAACCACAACAATAACGATATGAGAGAGAAGATAGCATGAGCATTGATCATCATCTAGATGTTATAAGGATTAACACAAAGAAGAGACGGATTAATTATCATCATTTATTAAGACTATAAGCCAAATGAGAGAAAAAAAATCATCGTCAGAGGTCGTAGGTGGGGGACATCGGGCTAGGACGAGGAGAGGGGGCGTTCGAATGGAACGGACGAGGTCCGGGAGCCGACCAATGAGCACCCGCGTCGTTGGCCTCCAAGTAACGTGCAACAACGCTGCGACGGACCGACGGTGAGCGTATGGCCTCACGTCTCTGCCGACGACGTGATCCGGGACGGTCTTCGTCAATCATCAACGGGAAAAAAAAGAGTGACTTCAGATTTAGATCTGGGTTGGACAAAGGCTAGGCTTCAACATGCCGGGCCTCGGGAGAGAAGCAATTAAGAAAAAAATAACAGATTTGCTATTCCACAACCAGTTGTTTTGTTTGCCTCTAACAACCGGATTTTCTAGCGTCCGGTTTGACCCGTGCGGCCTCGTGAAGCATGGGAGGCGCGGGCGGGAGTGGCGCGCGCGGCCGTCCTACTCCGTAGCCCATGCGTATGCAGCAGTTTGCAGAGGATGAGAGGAGACAGGAGGCAGGAGGCAGGCGGCGCATGCAGCCCAGTCTGCAGAGGAGGGGACCGGTTTGCATGCAGAGAGAGGTAGGACGTGGGGCCTATGCGTACGTGCGTGAGGAGGCAGACGGCGCGCCGTCTGCAGAGTAATTTGCCATATATCAACGTCGAAATTTGACATGTATTTCTATAATGTTTGAAATCTATAGAAATAATTTAAATTTTTTTTTGAAAAAATTGACATATATTCGTGTTATTCCACAATTACACCACTCCGTCCAATAAATTACACTAAAAAATATTTGTAAATATAATAATAAAGTGGTGTAAATATAGCTACAAGACAATGTAAATGCATGGAAAAAAATTTGGTTGTTGGGAGGAGCTAAAACAACCACTTGCTGGGTATAGAGATTCAAAAATAATTAGTTCGATGAGCTGCTTTGAGATCCGTAAAATTTTTACAAAGAGGAGTATCAGAGCAATTTCCGTTTATTAAATTTCAGTTACTCGACGTATCGGCATTTGTTGCGGGTCCGGCTGCTGGCGAGAATCACCGCCGCGGGAGGATAAAACTTTGTAGATGGCGACGTAGGTCAGCACGGTGGCGGCCATGGCAAGCACGTACCAGGACGTGGCCCAGTCCCTGCTGCTGCCGGTGGCGTAAGCCAGTAGGAGGCCAAGCAGGTCAAGCACGACCACCGTGTACATCGCCCCGACAGGCATGGGCAAGCCGGCCACCGGCAGCGCCCCCTGCATCAGCAGCGGCACGACCACGATGACGACGACGGATGCCACGAAGGACGCCGAGTTGCTGTAGAAGAACATGCGGTACCGGCGGGTGTCGGTGTCGCGGAGGACTGGGTCGCCTGCGGCGCCGTGCCCGGTACCGTCGGCTGGCCAAACGCCGCCCGGCGGGACCAAGCCGGCCTGGTACGTGACGCTCGCGGCCAGGATCCCCAGCAGCATCAGGTACTTGCACATCCTGTACCGCTCACGGTACTCGACGCTGGCGGAGTGCTTGGATTTGGAGTCCCCGTTCCCGGTCTCTGTCTTGTGGTGGTTGTCCGATGGACAGCAATGCCACCACCGCGAAATCCACCTCGGGACGTTGCGATGGTGGAGGATGGCGTGTAGGCCGGTGAAGACGAGCACCACGGCGACCAAGGCGACGACGATGGACGACGCCCGCACCGTCAGCATGGTGCTGGCAGTGTAGGCGCACATCAGGCCGATGAAGCTGGCGCCCATGCAGAAATAGAGCGCGGTCCAGTATCTTGTGCCTGTATTGGACAGGTTGCGGCTCAACAGGAAGACGGTGACGGCAACGGACGCCATGAAGCTTGTGGAATTGCTGTAGAAGAAGGCCTTGTACCGCCTCGGGTAGTTGTCGGCCAGGACCGGGTCGCCCACTTTGTGCGCTTCGTCGCCGGAGCCGTGCTCCAGCCAGAACTTGCCGGGCGGAGTCAGCCCAGCTTGGTAGGTGATGGTGACGACCAAGATTGCAAGGAGCAACAGCAGCTTCCGCTTCTTCTCGAGCTCGACCTCCTCCTTGCTCACCGTCGTCATCGTAGAATCAGAAGAAGACTTTTCGATCACAACATGGATCACCACGTACACAAAGACGGCAGCAGCCAAGGCGAAGACATAGACGGAGGTGCGTACATCCCGGCAGCTCCCGGCGCCGTACGCTCCCACGAGCGCCAACAGGTCCAGAAGGACAGCGGCTTCCAGCGCGTGCCGGCCACCCTGGCTGACCAGCGACCTGCTCTGCACCATGATGAAGACGACAATGGACGCCACGAAGGCAGCCGAGTTGCAGTAGAAGAAGGCCTTGTACCGCCTCGTGTGCGTCTCGAGGAGGACCAGGCCGCCGCTGACGTGCCCGTCGCCGGTCTCCTTCCAGACTCCGCCGGGTGGGTTGAGACCAGCTTGGTACGTGACGGTCACCGTCAGAGTGGCAAGGAGCAGTATCAGAGACCGAGCCTTGTCCAGTGGATTCGTATCGGCCTCACCGTTTCGCGACGCTCCGTCCGGTGGTCCTTCTCCTTCAGGAGCTTGTGATGCCAGTGTGTACTGGTTCTCGATGTAGGCGATGATGGATATGCACACGAGAACAGCACCGACCAAACAGAGGACGTAGACGCCGACGGCGGTGTCCGTCTCCCTGCAGCTCCCGGCTGCGTAGGCTCCCAGCAGGCCGATCAGCGCCACCGCGACGCACACGTACGGTGCGCTCAGGTGCCCGCTGACCTTGGAAAGCTGCCTGCTCAGGAGCAGCGTCATGGTGACGAGAGACGCGGCGAAGGCAGTGGTGTTGCAGACCAAGAACGCCAAGAAGCATCGCGCGTGGCGCTCCAGCAGGATGGGGTCTCCGGCGCGGTGGCCATGGTCATGCTCCCAGAAGCCACCCGGCGGGCTCAGCCCCGCCGTGTACGTGGCCGTCGTCGCGAAGATGGACACCAGCATCAGGATCTTGCGCCCCTCGCGGTGGAGGTGCCTGCCTCTGCTGCTTTTCTGGGTCCCGGCCGCCGTCTTCTTCGCGTAATGTTGCAGCCATATGGCCACCAGGACAAGCAGGATCACGGCGGCGCTGAGTGCAGAGGCGACGACGGTGATGGCAGAGCCCCTGCAGGCGCCGGTGACGTAGGCCAGCATGAGGCAGACCAGGTCGAGCACCATGGCGACACGCACGGCCAGCAGCATGCGCATGGCGTCCTTCCTCAGGAACAGCAGGAGGACGATGATCACGAGCGACGCCGCGAAAGCCGTGGCGTTCACGTGGTAGAACACCCTGTACCGGATGGGTCGGGTGTCGGGCAGGATCGGGTCGCCGGCGCGGTGGCCGTCCTCGGTCTCCAGCCACACGCCCCCCGGCGGGTCCATACCGGCCACGTAGGTCACCGTCGCCACCAGGATGGCGAGTAGCAGGAGGTACTTGCGCATCTGCCATGTCCGGTCCTTGCTGCCGAGCTCCGCCGCTTGCCCAGCGTTGCCATTTCCAATGGACGAAGGCATGGCGGCACGCAGTGCCTCTGTGGTAAATGAATGAATCAGGAGGCGCAAGTGTTCTTCGCCAATGTCAAGCAAACGGCCAGCTGTCTGATGATAAATAGCCCCGGTCACGTGATCACATCTCTGCAAAGCTTTTGGCGTGGTCGCTTCGTTCTTCAAGTTGTGTTGGATTCGTTTGCCTGAAAATAGGTTAGGTGAGGAAGCGTCTGCACAGAATAAATTCCTTGTTGCCGGAGCGACGCCTTTCGTATATTATTCCTAAAATGTCGGGGAGTATTTGGTACTTCGTATACACGTGCAAGCTCCTACTAGCAAGTTAGTTATTGAAGTTAGAATGTGCTTAAACCCTAGCAGGCGACTTGGAACTTTCTTGCACTGTCGATGCATTTTAATTTGACATGCGTCTTTGTGCAACTGAAGAATGTTTTCTTTCTTTTGTGTGCCATACATCCAACCATTGGACACCTTGTTTGTGGTTGGAATGGCTTTCCTAGTGCTAACCATACAATGATACAAGGGACGGTGTAACGGTGTAGGTGTACTTTTAACAATCATGTGATATTGTGATGACCATGGCACATCAGGGACGCACAATTAAAAATTGATGACTCAGAAGGGAAAATATACTGTATTTTTCAGTAACATAGAGGGACGAGTATTATACTTTAGATTGCATAGATGGAATTTGCTCATCTTTTTTCCCAATGAATTGGTGTGGCGATTCCCCCTCTTTGTTATTGTCATTGCTCCAATCCATGTTACACAAATGTATTGTCTTTAAATTTCACATTAACTTTCTTTTGAATCCAATTTCAAGTTCAATTAGGACAGAAATGCAATAAGTCTATTAGAATGGGAAAAGAAAACCCAGGGAGAACCATTTCTGCTTCATCATATTCCCATCGCCTATTCTGACCAAGGTTGCAAACGAAACTCACGAAATTTCTGACAAATAAATAAAGTTCATAATATGCAGTTTCTACCTTCTCAAAAATGCTTTTACTTGGCAGGTGCATGTGTAATGTCCAAAACTTTGCACTCTAGAGCTTAGACTTGGCGCAACTGGAGCTCCATACACTGATGCACATCCACACACAAGGACACTCTGAACTCAAACGCCCTGTTCGCTTGACTTATATACAACGGGTCAATGCAGGTTTGCACCAACCATGCCACAGTAACTTACTACTACATTTCAAGGCTAGTGTTCTGATAGCCAGCTGTTAAAGGCTGTTCATTTCTTCTAAACAAAATAGAAAAGGGCGAAAGGTTCTTGGTTTCCAGATAAAGTTTGACAGCACAAACACAACACAAATACTACTAATGCAACCATGCAATCTTTGTGTTGTGTAAGTCCCAAAATAGCTGCCACCGGTTACCATATCCTGTGCAAAAAGATGCCCATAGATCAGGCTGTTCTAGCAAACAGTTCACACTAGTTGTCTTCCTAGATGCGATCCAGCCAGCTGCCGAGGCTTTCCTGAGAACCAAACTGAATGTCCTGTCGCAATACGATAGAAATAACATTATCAGATTTGTCAGAGCAATTAGCAAACATACTGGCACCGAGAATACCAGAAGGATAAACTTACAGCAAGCTGAAGATCTGGAGGCGTTCCAAGATCCACATTATGGAGATCAGGCAACCCGTATCCATTCAGGTTCCAATCAGGCATCTCATTCCTGCATTGGGACAGAATCGGATAGTCCCAGGGAAGCAATGTTTCGTCGTTTAAGGAATTTGGGTCTTCACGACAAAGAAGAGGTTCATCTGAGTTCGACTGAGCCCGAGATGCCTCTCCAACAACCTGCTGTTCTTGAGCTACAGCACACCATGCAGGGTTCATAGCATCATCCTCCAGGCTAACAATAGGCATGGTAGGCTCGCCTTCGCCGTCCAGTAGTATCTGTATCGAAACTACAAACTTAGCACTGGAAATGGTCATGAAACATGATTATGGCAATGCACCAGCGGGAAGGGAATTTGCTCTGATATAGATTATAGCCTGGCCCTCTTGTGCAATTACGATGCAAGCATGTAAGATTTTATCTAACATGCCAAAAAGATTAGTGCACATATTTCTAGGATGCTCTCATCTCTATCAATGAAATAGGCACACTCTCGTGCCCCTTCATTCCAGAAATATATATTTTCCTTTCAAAAATAAAGTAATATATATTTCCAGAATACTGATACTCTGATAGAGATTATGTACTTCAACAAAAAAGATTATACAAACTCTAAGTCTATCTATAAACTAGTGCTAATGTTTTTTGGAGCTGATTTTGAAACATGGAGGGATAATATGCCTGTCAGATCGCCAGTACTAGGTCCCCACCGGTTTTAGTGGGAGGTAATAGAGGTTCTAGACAAAGCTAAGTGCATATTATCAGTTTCAATTTCTCTTAATATGCCTACTTGTGTAATTTCAACAACTTGTTTATGCTCTGATCTAGCAATTTTTCGTACATCACTGTGATCCCAAAAGAAGTTAATGAGTTACCTGATCCTGCAGGATGGAAATATTCTGCTCAGTTTCACATGGACTATTTTTAGGATGGCGTGGCTGCGGTGTGATTGTCTTTGGGGTTTTCGGACCAATCACTGAAGCAGGTGCATCAGGTTCCTCATAAGCAGTTTCTGTTTCAGAAATTTCCATACTCTTATTTGGCAACTGGCAGAAGATTTTAGATACTACAAGCTCCCCGTCCTTTTCGTTTTCCTCTTCTCCAAGGTGATACTGGTGCATTACCCAATTAGCTCTATCAGGCTTTCCACCTCTTTGCGAAGTTTTGTACAGCACCAGTATCTTCTTCCAACCTTTTATAACACCATTGTCATATATGGCTTTGGATCTCCCTGTCTTGTGCCATCTCACATGCTCATCAGGAACAGTGTGGTCGCTGCAGTTGATGATCCTTCGACGCTTGCGCTGGCCACAACCATACGCATTTGAAGCTCTATGGAAGAAATGAGCATTGCTACCATCTGTTTTCATACCTACGAGGTCAATAAAAACCAAATTCAGAATGTGAATACACCAACAGATTCATAAAGAATAACCACACCATCTCAAGACATAATTATATACCAGGAAGATTTTCAGGATGTGAATAGCAGATTCCCTCATCATTATCTATAGTTGGAATAAATTCATCAATGAGGACATGTGGTCTTGAACCTCCCAGGCCGACCTTTTGTTCTAAATGTTCAAGCAACTCCAATTCAGAAGGATCAAACTTGACTCCAGCAGGCAGCCCAGGCCACTGCATGGCAACCTACAGAATTTGAAATGCAGGAAAAACTTGCTCAGATATGTAACATCTACAACTGAATATGATCTGAGAGCCAAATGCCCGTTCTCCAACAACCTAAACAGAACAAATGTACTTACATCACCGTTATCAATAACATAACTGCAGTTCGGGCATTCCCTCCGTGCTTCTGCAATCAGTTCACTTATTTGGCGATTGGCGCTAGGAGCTGTGTATCTTATTTTCTTAGCAATTCCCCTACCAGTTATCAGCCATGACCTGTACCATAAGGAGCATATTGGTGCTGTTGCCAAAAGAAGTACTTGCACAAGATAACTTGAAGACAAACATGCTCAAATAGTTAAAATTCATGTATTTTTAGCTAGTAGTGTATGTGTAAGGAAAACAGGAGTGATTTTATGCCCCGTTCTTGAAAATAAAACCCTGGCAAGACCAATTAGTGGCTGGACTCCAGTGGCAAATCATAGACTGAACAACACAACATTAGCACTACTACACCTTATCTTAAATGTTGTAACCACAGGAAGCAAGCCTAGAAAAAATGTTTTGTCACACATCAGGGCAGAGCATATGCTCTGTTTCTCTGCTCCTTTTCTTTTGTTACTTTTCCCCAATCTGGGCATGAGTGCAAAACTGATCATGATAAAATTTGGCTCGAAGCAGTGTGCTAGTGCTAATACAAGTAATTGTAATCCAGGGTCTTTTGAAGCTAATGCTACACATCGGTCATCGGTACTACCCTGTTGCGACTCGAATACAATGCAAACTTCTGTAATTCCGATTATCGAAAAATCCGGTTTCGCTCACAAGCCACAGCACCGGCCAAGGCAAATCCGACATAGGAGCTAGCAAATCATCCAGTCCGATCCAAATGACAGGCAACGCGACCGAGAAGTCGCAATCCTAAAGGGCGGGCGCGCGCGCTTGCGGATGGGAGGGGTGTAGAAGAACTGAAGAAGGAACCCTCGCAGCACTAAACCCGCCCCCAACCAAACCTGATGCCCACGAGGAAATCACGAACTAAGCAAAGCCCTAACGACGAAGATGTCGAGAGAGAGAGACGCGGAGGACGTATAGTACCTTGCCATGGTGGCGCGCGCCGCGCGGGCTCCGACCACGCCTGCGTAGGCGGAGAGGAACGCCGGACGAGGCGGCGGCGGAACGGCGCCTACTGGCTACCGCGCCCGGTCCCGGTTGCGTGCGCGGCCGGATTAGACGACCCCCGCGACCGCGCGCCGACCAATTATAACACCTCCCAGTCTCCCACTCCCACTCGGAAATCGGAAGGCGGGAAAGCTCGCGGCACGGCGGGTACTGGGAAGGCGGCGCGCTCGCGGGCCGGGAGACGCGGAGCCTGTCTGGTCCTCCTTCGCCCCGACCCTTTCCTTCCTTCGCAAGCCGCGCACGCGAACCGAGAGCGCTCGCTCGTTCGTTTCGTTCGTTCCTTGCTGCTGCTTCATCGCGGGGGGCGAGGCGAGGCCCATGTCCATGCCCCGACGCCGCTCCCGCGAGCCCAGCTTTTGTCCTAGAATGGGCCGTATAGGCCCACCTCGCGCGAGCGAGGCGAGGCCACCGCTAGCCCGTTTCCTTTCCCTCCTCGGCAACGTTTTATTATGGGCCGAAATGTGCAACGGCCATTCTGCGTACGCGTCGTGGGCTCCTCAATGGAGATTTGCGCCAGATGAGTGGATGCTCACTCCGGTCCGCTCGTTTCTTTGCCTGCTTTT